GCGGGCTGCATGGAGACTGGTGCCCCTCCCCCTTTAATAAACTTTTAATTTCAGGGTAGTTTTCAGTTTATACCATTATTGCAAAGATACACCAGCCCACTTTTCCTGTCGTCAGCGCCGCCCGCCGGTGCAGGGCCCGTGTCACAAATCAGGAACCAGTCTGGCTCGCTGTTGTTAACAGAAGTCCACACTCTGTTCAGGTTTCCTTGGTTTTCCTGTCACACCCTCTCTTTGCCCCCAGCGTCACGTCTCCCCAGGCGCCTCTGGGCTGCGCCGTCTCTCCCGTCCCTGGTTTCTGGGGGCCCGGCAGTTCTGGGGGGTGCTGGACGAGGTGCTGGGCTGTCCCTCCATGGGGACGTGTGTGACGTTCCTATGGAGCTTACACTGGGGTGATGGGTTCTTGGAGGAAGACCACAGAGCTGAAGGGCCTTCTCGTCACTTCAAGGCCACATGGGGTCACGGGGATGCGAGCTGGCTCCCTGGCTGAGGAGCGCTTGTCAGCGTCTCCCACGCTCTTGGGAAGGCGGTGGCCACGCACAGCCTGCACGTAAGGGCTGGGGAGTCTCCTGGGGGAATCCCCACTTTTTAAAGGGCAGCTTTTCATGTGCCTTTCTACGGGGCATCTGGGTGTTTTCTAGAAATGTCCGTCTAAGGGCTATTGACAGTAATCTCTACAACATTTGAGGGCTTGTCAGGTGCCAGGCACAGTTCTCGGTGCTTTACCTGCTGTTTGCACCGCGAGTCTCCTGAGGCTCTGCCCACCTCCCCCCGCCTGGGGCTCACAGAGGCCAGGGGAGCGCCCAAGGCCCGCTGGGCTGTGCCGGTGACTGGCTCCTGGTAACCGGCTCTTCCTCCACTCTGCGTCCGCTCCCTCACCAGCACACCCAGCCAGTAGATACCAGGCCTAATGCAGGGGCAGGAAACATGGCTGTCCTTTTGTGCCGGACAAAGCCGTGGTGTGCTGGAGGCCGTCGAGGTGACCTTCCTGCTGGCAGGAGGCAGGACTCCCCCAGGCCTGCGGGCTTCCAGCTCAAGGCGGCTCCAAGCTTTCTTGCTGATACTGCGGACGGTCACGGAGAACGTGGGCCTGGCCAGGACCCAGAAAACAGTCCTCTGGACACAATCAGACGGTTGTGCCATAACCACCTGGCACCTGGTGTGGATGGGGTCAGCAGTGCAGGCCGGGGCAGATGGGAAAGGTGAGGTCCGGCTAGGTAGGCCCGTCCCTCCGGCCCTGGAACTTTCTGGTTACCAATTACAAGTGCTTTAATCCACAAGGAGAAAAGGAGGAGGAGTCTGGATTGGCTGGCTCCTCTGAGAGCCGGGAGGAAGGAGGAAGGCGGAGGGAGAGAGAAACAGCCCCCTTGCCAAGCAAGCACACATGTCCCTGTGATCTGAGCCGAATGGCCGCGCCTTAGGCCAAGCTCGGCAGAAACCAGGTTAGGCAGAGAGAGACATGGAGGTGAAAGCCCTTCAAAGTTTTGCTGGGTGGCCACCTCAGAAAGGACTCCTTCTGTTTAGCAAAAATTCACAAACCCTTGTGCCTGCCTGCCAGGAGAACAGCTTGCTTGAAAAGCAAGGCTGTCATCCTGTAATTAAATCTGAGACCCCCCTCCCTACGTGGCGCTGAGATGAAGCCACTTATATAACACGCCTAAAAATAAGCTGATGAAGAGACGCACTTTTATTCTCCCTGCTTCCAGCCCTTTACTCCTGGGCCGCCCAGGCTGGGGTCTGCTGAGCTGGGGGTCGGCGTCAGCAGCCCCACACGGTCGGGTTCTCACCTCCGACCGCGGCCCAGCAGTCTACACGCATCAGGGCCCGGGGCTTGCGCCTGGGGCTGGGGGCCCCTCTAGTTCAGAGCTGGGTGCTGAAGATCCACACGGCTACCCATCTCCCCGGTCACACAGACCACAGAGGTGAGGACCGACAATCAGGCGTGACAGGGGAGCCGGTGGCTACAGGGTGCCAGAGCACCTGCCTTCTCAGGGACCCCTGAGCTGCCCCCCAGCTCTGCCCCGAGGGCCGGAAGAACACCTCCCCAGTCTGCGGCGTGCTGGGAGCTGCCCATCTTGGCTGGCGCTGGCCCTCTTGCTAATCCTCTCCGACTTCTCCATCATGACAGCACCTTCCTCTTGCCAGTCTTGGAGGGGGCGGGCCAGACCCCAAGTCTAGGCAATGATTTCCCAGCTGCACTGACTGCCAACCTCCAGGCAAGGCATTCGATCCCACAGCCCCCCCCACACACTGAGTTAAGGGGAGAAAGAACAAGGGGATTTTATAAAGGGCTCAGAACACCTCCAAAATAAAAAGGTGCCAAGACAAAGGTGCCCCCTTAACTCTGGGAGCTGGCACAGGGGCTAACCTCTCAGCACCCAGCCCACCATCTAGCCCTGTCCACTGCTCGGGCCCTAGGCCCTTACCCTTGGCCCTAGCCCCGCCCCAGACACCATCACCACTGGAAGGGGCTTCCACACAAGGAAGAAAACCCTCAGAGAACACTGGTGTCTCCCAGGCAGGGGCTCAGACCCCCGCCGAAGACTCCTTCACAGCTGAAGGAGTGGGCGCGCCCGTGCCGAAGCCCTTTCTGGAGTCTGGTATGCAGAGAGGCCACCAGGCAGGGTACAGGTCTCCAAGCCTCGCTAGTACGGCCTCGCCCACGTCTCACTGCGCCTGCCATGGGTCCTGCTGGGTTCTCGGTGATGCTCGGTGCAATGCTCCTTCACTTTCACTGGTGGCAGGTGCTGACTGATGGCTTCCCTCCCCAGGACAGGCTGCAGGGCCATCAGCACACCAAGTGGGTCCCCTACCTCAACCACTACCAAAAGTGAGCATGCCCTCGGGCAGGAGGACAGTCAAGAGCAGGAGCTTCTAGAGGGTGGGGTGGTGCTTAGGACTATGGAGGCTTCTCTGGAGAGGACCCTCTTCTCCCTCTACTGTCTTGAGACTGATGGGAGCAGACAGCTCAGAACCCTCCAAGCTGATTCCCCTCCCACAGTGATGAGACCCCCCCCCCGGCCCCGTTTTCCTGGCAGCCTCCACCTGTCATTCTTCTGGTCCCAACCACGTCACTTCCCTTTGGGCAGGCAGAGCTCTACCCTCCACCCACCCAGCTCCACTCCACCTCCGCCCTTGACCCAGGTCAGGTCAGCGGATGGTAGTCCTAGAGCTGGCTGGACGGAAGTGTGCACAGCACCAAGCTGGCCTGGAGAAAAGGGAAAGAAGGGAAGGAAGACAGTCCCAACTTCAGCTGTGCAAGCAGATAAACGTCCCAGTGGTTAGAGCTAATCTGAACTGGCTTTCTGTCACTTCCGACCAAAAGAATCCCGGAACCCACATACACAGGAATCCACCTGAAAACACTACAAGCAATAAAGAAAAAAGAGGAAGCCACAGCTGGGATTAGGAAGGAAATTCAACCAAAAAGGATCTGCCTGTGATCGAAGGCTGGCAGATGGAGCAGGCAGGCTCTTCCTGAATGTCGCTTCCCTTTCTCAAAGGCGCTCCTACGAAGCGGAGCACACTCCATTTGGGTCCCGGGCACTGTGACTTCAGGACTTGCCCGAGTCCCGCTCTGTCCACAGCCGTCTTGCAGGTCTGTGTCCCCCTGGGCGCCTGCGCTTGAGGAGACCTGTGACCGAGTCCTGGATGGAATACTAGCGGAGAGCGTCAGGCTCCATTAGAGGGAAACACTCAGATCTGCTGTTTTACGACGTAAAGCAAATAATTCCTTTATGTGACTCTAATTTACGTAAATATTTTTCCAAAGCAGTGGTAGTGGGAGCCCTGTGTGTCAGCTTGGTCAGCTTCCCCAGCAGAACCTCCCAGGAAAGGCCTCCAAAACCAACAGCTCTGTCTGACCCCTTGATCCCTCAAGGGAAATTCTCCCTCCACAAAGAAACTGCACCCAACAAGGGTCTTCTGCCATCGCAGGGTCCTCTCCTCCCCTGGGGGGCCCCGAGGGCCCCCCCATAGGGTTCTCTCCCCACCCCCCATCGGCCCCCTCTACGATCTTCCTGGCAAATTCTCTCCGTCCCAGAGGACGCTCTCCTCTCCAGGATTTTCCTCAGGGCCCACCCCACCCCCGTGGTCACCCCGCCCAGGGTCCTCTCCCCCAGGGTCCTCCCCTCCCAGGATCTTCCCCCGGGACGCAACCCCCCCCCCCGGGTCCATCCCTCCCACAGCCCACCCTCCCAGGGTCCTCCCCAGGGTCCACCCCTCTTAGGATCCACCCCCAGGATCCTCCCTTCTCAGGATCCTCCCCAGGGTCCACCCCCCCAGGGCCTCCCGCCCACCCGCCTCCCCAGCTAGAGACTCCGCCGGCCCGCACACTCACCTCCCGAAACTCCGGGTCCGCCCCGGACCCTGAGGCAGCGTGCCGGCCTCTCTCCATCCGTCCTTGCGCCCGCACGGCCGGCCTCCGGCCGCCCAGGTACCTTCCCCCGCCCGGCGCGAGCCCGCGACCCCCGCCACCTGCAGGGAGCTGCGCCCAAGAGCCGCCCCGACTCGCGACTCGGCGAGGAGCCGCCCCCATGCGCGCCCGCGGCAGCGCCCCCGCTCCCCCACCTTCCGCTCCCCTCCTCCAGCGCCTCCGGCCCACGCCGCCCCGCCCCCAGCCCGGCTGTCGCCCGGCCCCCAGGCTGTTCCCAGGGCTGCGGCCCGCGCCGCGCCTCCGCCTCCTCCCCTGCGATCGACAGCGCTGCCCACCAATCGCTGTCCGCAATCGGCCCTCGGGCCCCGCCCCCTCCCCCGTCTCCGGAACCCACCAATGGGAAGGGCGGTGCGGGGGCGGGGCCTGCCGGTTGCCTGGCAGCGGCGCGGCCGGGCGGGGGCGGGCAGGCGGCCGGGGGCGGTGATCCGGGCGCGGGGGGCGGGGCCTTGTGGGGGGCGGGGCCTAGGCGGTTATAAAGGCGGTCGCCGAGTAGGTGCCGCGTTTCTGGTCCGGCTCCGCGCGCTGCCCACCGGTTCCTGCCGCGCCCGCCGCGCCGCCGCGCCGTCCGCCGCCCGCCGCCGCCCGCCGCCGCCTGCCGCTGCCCGCGCCCCCGAACCGCTCCGCGGTGCCGCCGGACCAGCATCATGTCGCTGTCGCGCACGGAGGAGATGCATCGGCTCACGGAAAATGTCTACAAGGTGAGCCCCGCGCCGCTGGAGCGCTCGGGCCCGACCCGGGCGGCCCCGGGGCCCTTGGGGGTCTTCTCAGAGCGGCCGCGGGGACCCGGTGCAGCCAGTCGGTCACAGGTGGGCGCGGGCGCCCACGCTCCGATAGCCCCGCGCTGCCCCCGCGCGTCCGCCCGGGCGTCCGGGGGACGGAGCCCTGGGACCGGAGTGGAGCCGGGCGGGGGCCGCCGGGGGTCCAGGGGGGCCGGGGGCCGCGCCGCCCGTCCTCCCGCGCCCGGGGTGGCGTGGGGGCCCCGTCGTGGCCTCTCCAGCCGCGGTTACGCAAGCCCTTGGGCACTTTCTTGTCAACAGGCTTTCCCTTTGCACAACTCCTTCCCGGGCAGTCATGGACGGGGGCCCTAGGTGGGAGGTCGCGCGCGGGCAGGTTGGATGGGTGGACAGATAATCCATCATCTTATGTAACCGCGGAGAAGACTAATTGTGTAGGAGGCTGGCGCGCCTGCCTCTGCCCTGATGTGTGTGAAGAGTGGGGTTCGCGTCCTCCTCTGCACACTGTCACTGTCACATCTGAGGGCCACAGAGCCCCGCCGGGAGACCCCTCCGAGGCCCCCTCCCTGGTCATTCTGTGCCTTGGTCCACATGAACAGGCCTTTGGGTTTCTCTCCAGCATCCATTGTGTCAGTTTACACCCCCACCCCGGGGACAACAGACCCAGCCTCCGGGGGAGTCAAGGCCCTCTGCAGTCCCACGCCGGCATGTTCTCAAGAGGGAGACTCATGCCCTGGGCGTCCACAGCAGGCTTCTTAAAAAGCTGTGCTTGATTTCAAAACCCTGTCTGAAGGTTAACTGGTGGGCTGGGAGGTTGAGGTGCTGGGTGTTTCCGTGGTAGGTGCTGGTTCTCGGGGCTCAATGGGATTGTGAGGCACTGGCGGAGCAAGTTTCTAATTGTACTGAACAGTTATGGCCGTGCTTTCTTAGCCGGTGGCCTGCAAAGCCCTCCCCATAAGCTCGCCCAGGCTCTGGACCGCCCCCGGGACACTTGCCCGGTGGCCCCTTTTGCTCTCAGCTGGATTTTAGGTGGCACACTGTCCTCCAATACGGCTTCTAATAGAGGTTTTAAAGTTCCAGCTCCATCACGGGAAGAATTCTGAAGCCGGTCAGGATTGACTAAGTCCGTTCTGGAGCCATGTTAGAGCTGCTGGTAAACACGAGTCAGAGGCTGGTGAGGAATCAGCACGTAGAAGGAACAGCCTCTGGGGTTTTTGTGTTTGGTATCACAGAGAATCTGTGGCATACGTTTCTGTTGGTGTTGGTCTGCAAACACTATCAGGGAAGGGAGGTTTATTAAATTATTAGTCATTAATTCCGTAACCGTTTGCTCACTATTGCAGGGGGTGGAAGGGAAGTGCTGGCTAGAGGATCTCTTTCCTATTTTCCCTGCTTCTGCCTTGAAACCATGAAACGTGAACTTTCATGGTGAGAGTCACGAGGGGTGCATGGCGTGGCTACACTCTGGGGCACCCCATGATCGTCCTCACTAAAACTCTTATAACCTGGGCAGTGAGGCATGCAGTCAGGGCTCAGCAGCTTTGAGATGGAGCTGTGATTTCTCTGGAGACCTGAAGGGAGATCTGCCGGCAGGATAGGGGCAGGAAGCTAGTAGGGTCTGAGTGTGAGGACCGTGCACCCCTCTGGAAGCCAGCTGGAGGGTGTCGGGTGCACATTCAACAGGCGAGCCTGTGCTTTGTGCCGGTGGGGCAGTTGATTCATGAGCTCGCGTGGAGGAAGCGTGGCGAAGAGCCCTGAGCTCTGCGAGGCTGGACATGGCAGGCCTTGGTGCCCGCAGGGCCTTGCCCCCCGCAGCCGTCCTGGTCACAGCACGCCCACACTGCAATGCCACCAGATTGGCTTTGTAGGTGACACTCTTCCTGAGGCTCCGTGGCTCGACTGCCAAGTCTTGGAGTGCCGGTGCTCTTTTACCCTTTTGTGTTATGTCCCCGGGGAGCTCAGTGTTCCGAGGCCGAGCCGGCACTGGTGGGGCAGCGTGGGCACCCTGGCCAGGCGGAAATCGGCCCACACCGAGGCACAGTCAGGGTGCAGCTGAAGCCGCCCGTGTGGACCTGGCTGGTCCACCATCCTGTTGGGGGGGGGGAACGTGCTGCCTCTGCTCCTGGGTGGGAGGCTTGCGGAAGCGTGGCCGGGCTGTGGCCCTGCTCAGTGTCCCCCGTGCTGCAGCCCAGCTGTTTGCTTTGGCCCTGCACCGTTCCAGCTGCAGTTCTGAGTGCTGTTTGCCTTGGCAAGAAAGGGAGCAGCAGGGACACTGGTCCTTGGCCTTGCTGATTAAAAATGTGAGAGTAGAATATACTCCTGCCTGGAAGAATCAGCCACACGGACTTTTACCTCTTTCCTTGTGGCCCGGTCCCTGTGGGAGCCACGTCCTGGGGGAACTTCACGAGAGGTGCAGGGAGAGAAGCGGAATGGCTTCCAGGAGGCCGCTGAGAGCTCACCTTCTGACCTGGGGCAGGGGGACACGCACTGAAGCCTTTTGGGGGGAGGCATGGGCCTGGGCCCTTTGGGGGCTGGAGGTGCAGGGAGCAGAGCCTGGCGTCCAAGACCTAGTCTGGGGGGCAGCCCTGGGTCGTTGCCTGGAGTGAGGGACAGAGGGGGCAGGCACCTACTGCTCAGAATTAAGCCCAAACCACAGCCCTCCTGGGAGAGACCTCTGAGTGACCCTACATGCTGGAAAGAGGCTTCTACAGTAGCTGACCTCACTTCCCCAGGGGGGTTTGGGGAGCAACTGTCAGGTTGGTGTTTCTCATGGTCTTAAATGCCGAGAGAAGCTGTGGCTCTCGGCCGACCTTATGAGCCTGCAGGGTGGCAGCTCCGGCAGCTTCCCAGGAACAGTAGCATTGCTTGTCCTGAGGCTGTGGGCAGGTGGGAGACAGCCTAAGGAGGAGGACTCCCTAGGAGGGCCTCGGGCGGGTGGTTTACGGTGGTGTGGCTCTGGGGCCTTGGTCGACAGGGCCAGGCTGGTCGCTAGAGGCCGTCTGCTCATCCTCACCCTGGAACTGTTGTGGGGAAGCTGGCCCGGCCATGCCATAGCTGCCCTGTGGGTGGTGGGTGACTTGGGGTTCCTGGAGCCGGGAGTTGGTCAGGCTTGACACCTCTGGTGCCATTGGTAAGGGCTGGTGCCGGGTGGGGGCTTTGGCGCTGGTGGGAGGGAGCCGACTTGCTGGCTTTTCCCACGGTGGCCTGGCCGCCCAGGCCCTGCCTGCTACCCTCCGCTGTGTCCCACCCATGCCTCCAGGTGGGTGTTTGGGGGAGCTCTGGGCAGTCCTGTGCCGCCGGCCTCAGACCCGCTTTCCCCTCACCCACGGCTGGGCAGTCCCACCAAAGCATTTGCTGCCCTCCAAAGCCTGACGTCTGGTGTGGACGGAGCTCAGCGGGCCCCTGGTTGGAGAAAACGCAGTGGACCTTGAGAGGCACTTCGTCGGCAAAGGAAGTGCCTGCTGGGAGGAGCAGGTCTGGTGTCTGCTTGGGGAGGAGGCGAGAGCCACAGTGCCATGCGCACCTCTGTGCACGCGCGTGCGTGCGTGTGCTTGTGTGGATGAACACGTGTCCACGCGAGTGTGCATGCCTGTGAGTGTGAACGCGAGTACGCCTGCGTGCGTGCGGGTGGTGCTTGTTTGCTTTGCTTTAAAGGTACTTGCAGGGGTGCCCATTGGGGTCCTATCTTCTGATAAGGTGGCAGGGCCTGCTGTCACCAACTGGACTGTCTGAGCTTCACTTCTTCTGGGTGTGCTACATGGTGTCTGTCCATCTCCGCATTTGAGGATTGCACCTCCCACCCCCTTTCTGGAGTAGCTAGGGCAGCAAAGGGCAGTTTCTGTGGTGCACTGACCTCGAGCTGACCGGCTGTGGCAGCTCCTGGTGCCCAAGTCGTCGCGGAGATTGTTGGCTCCCTAGCACAGGATCCTTGCTGGCTCATGGGGTTCCTGGTGAACGGCCGATGAACGTAACGGGGCAGCTGGAGACGCCAGGCTCAGGCCTGTGGTTCTGCAGAGTTCTGAGCAAGCGTCTTGCCTGCAGTGTCCTTATGGGTCCTGCCCTGAACACACGTCCTGTGTTTGGGAGGTTGGCTTGGCTCGTGGGACTAACCTGTGGGCACCCGAGGCTCTAGGTCACAGCGGTGGCTGGTGCTGGCCCTGGGTTTTTGGGGTGCTGTCAGCGGGGAGGGGCACTGGCAGTGCCGCCGTCTTGTGGCTGCCTGGTTGGCGGTGACATCCCCCTGTTGGCGGTGACGCCCCCTGGTTGGCGGTGATGCCCCCCGGTGTGCGGTGACGCCCCCCAGTTTGTGGTGAAGCCCCCTGGTTGTTGGCGGAGAAGCTCCCCTAGGGCCAGCCCTGTTCCCTCCTCCCACGGCGTGGATGTGCGGGTTGGGCTGCCTAGAACAGGCAGCCTTTTGTGGGAAGACTAGCTGCTGAGTGAGAAGGCCTCATCCCCTCCTCCTGGGCTCCGAGAGGCGGGCTGTTTGCAGGTCTGGGTCCTGCTCCGGAGAGCCCTGCAGTGTCACCACAGGACTCGGTGGGCCACTGGTCGGGCTGGCCTTGCTGCTCACTTGTCCCCACTCAGCTTGGCCTGGCACCCTGGATGTTGCCTGTGCTGTCATCCTCCAGCGGGGACACCTGAGCCGTCAGTCCAGCGTGCGGGTGCCCTGGGCTGCTGGCCAGGCTGGCTCCTGTCCCCTTTTCTCGCCTCCAGGCGCACCGAGCCCTGTGTCGCCTTCCTGGCCACTCGGGGTGGGGAGGCTGTCCTCATTATGGTGCAGACCTGTGTCCCCTGGATACGCAGCACTGTGCTACCACCCACTGACAATAGCCGTAGGAATTATGGACGGCACAGACCGAGCCAGCCCCCGCCTCCCCAGCGCCGATCACTGCTGGCCCTGAGTGGGCTGCATGACCGGGAGGTGGCTCGAAGGGCCCCAGCCCAGTGGGCACTGGTGGCTCCAG